CAGTGAAGGTGTGTCTCTTCATCCCAAGCTCCTGCTGGACTTTTTCCCACCTGCTTTCCCCTTCAGTGTCCCATTGTTATTTACAAGCTCCCCATTTTCCCCCAAATAGCTTGCCTTCACGGCTTCTTCCTTCCTAGGCAGGAAGCCAGTTAGGGCCCTAAACAAGGTCCTAGTGTATGTTCTCCCACGTTCATAAGCCTGTATCCAGCTGATTCTGCCTTTCATTTCTCAAATGGAGTCATTTAGCAAGTTTCATCAAAAATCCATGCCTCCAGATAGCTTGTCAGCTGTTCAACGATAATTTCCAAAAAAAAAAAAAGTTAAACTCATGACTCTTGAAGAGATATAAAGATGAATGCATATTAAAGATTTTATTTGAGCCAGATAGTTGTTATACCTGGTGCAGAAGAGAATTCTAAGAGCCAATACATTTATAGATCAAGAATATTGAAATGGCCGGGCCCGGTGGCTCACGCCTGTAATCCTAGCACTCTGGGAGGCCGAGGCAGGCAGGTAGCTCAAAGTCAGAAGTTCGAAACCAGCCTGAGCAAGAGCAAGACCCGTCTCTACTATAAATAGAAAGAAATTAATTGGCCAACTAATACATATAGAAAAAATTAGCTGAGCATGGTGGCGCATGCCTGTAGTCCCAGCTACTCGGGAGGCTGAGGCAGAAGGATCTCTTGAGCCCGGGAGTTTGAGGTTGCTGTGAGCTAGGCTGATGCCACGGCACTCACTCTAGTCTGGGCAACAACTTTTGAGACTCTGTCTCAAAAAAAAAAAAAGAATATTAAATGAATGTGCAAATAGAGATAAAAGTGGTTTTTCCACAGTGGGTGGAGGGCTATCAATTGAATGTCTACTGGACAGGACAGAACTTGTGAGTCTACAGACAAGCCCCAAGTGCATCTCATAACTATCTACAAGTTGCAGAGTTGGGAAAGAGCTTCCATACAGTCCAAATAATGTGACCCAGAGGAATGTCCTCAAGAGTCTCTGTGGACAATGCACAGTTTTCCACTGAAGCACAAATCTTCCCTACACTGCTTAGTCTTTCTCCACCCCTAACTATAAAATCTATCAGCCATACTGAATCATAGTACTTCCCCCAGCTTTTACAAAGAACATCATTGACTCCCTAGTGAGTCCCACATCCACAATAAACTTCTCTTCCTGCTTTTTAAATCCTCATTAATCTAGCTTCACTCTCTTTATATAATCACCTTTAATTGTAGGCAGGCCTGACCCCTCCAACCCAAGCCAAGCCGATACCTTCCCACACACTCCTCTGACCCAGATATCCCTCTCAATCATCTATATCCTTCTCATGCCTCTGGCTCACTTCAAGATTTTTATGTTTTTGTGTTTATTATCTGAAAGCCACACACAACACCTATCCTGGTCTTTAATTATCAATGCTACCTCCACTGGACTTTGATCATGCATTCATTCAAACATTTTATAAGCACCTTTCATTGCTACCAGACACAGTCTAGATGGTAGGTTTAGGCACTGGACATCCAGCGACGAAAGCCATGGCTCCCAAGATGTCTGGGGGAACAGACAGTGAGAATACAGGGGATTAGCACTTTGACACAGGCTGCTTTCGGGGCAGAGGGAGGGCACATGACCCAGACAGGGAAGGTCAGCAAAGATTTCCTGGAGGAAGTGTCACTGGTCAAACAAAGAAGGATGCAGAAGGAACTTGAGCACATGCTTGTATAAATGCATGAAACACATTTTTAACAAAAATCCTTTTATAATCATAGTGTCTCTTACCTCTACTAGATAATAGAGGATAGCAGAAGATGCCACCCCAAAATATGCCAAAGTAGAAAGACAGCAGATGCAAGAGGGGCAGACCAGTCTTTACTTTCTGAAAGCAGAAGATAAAATTCCCATGTGAATGATGCCTTCCCTATGCCAAGAGGAAAGAAATGTTATCACCAGAGATGAGAGCTGAGGCCAAGAGAAATCTGTACAAACAACCTTGTTAAATGTTGTTCCTTTAGCGTCCCCATAAATATAGTGAGCTCTTCACGATTACTACTTTTTGTTCAACCTAGTATATAAGCACTTAGGCCTAACCAATTTGGGGATCTTGATTTTCCCGTGAGGGCTCCCAGGTACATGCAAAAATATTAAATACAGTTAATTTGTTTTTCTCCTGTTAATCTGTCTTACGTCAACTTAATTCTCAGGCCCAGCTGGAAACTCTAAGAGGGTAAAGTTTTGCCTCCCCTACAATAATATAGTTCTTGAGGACAGGGGCACTGTTTTAGATTATTTTTTATGCCATGGTTTCTGACAGAAAATCACAGCAAGCACCTTGTAAACTTAGGGTTTGATGGATTTCTAAATCTTTCATCTCAAAGTGGTCCATAATACTGATTGGTTATCTGGGGGCTGTGAAATGTTATTTTCCCCTGATACCATTAGGTATATGAAAATGTAAATGGTGTGGTCTTTAAGGCATCTTCTCTCTTAAAAGTAAATGATATGTCAGAAAGTCTCTGGCTGGAGCAGCAGATGTATGAAAGAGGGAACAGAGTCAGATAAAGAGAGACAGACAAGTGTAACCTACAGCTCTGCAATGTGGTCACCTCTGAAGCTCACAGAGACCCCTCTACTCACACACAAGGGGTGGGGGCAGGTTTTAGCACTCCATTTTTTGGTTGCAGAAATTGCAACCTGCTCTATCACATTGGAAGGAGGGAAGAGGTAATATAAAGTGAATATAAAGATTTCAGTCTTTGGAACAATATAGATGAATTTTCGTGAGTTTACTGAGTTGACGATGCAACTCTTGTTTTAACGATCTAGAAAAGCTGGAAGCCAGAGTCGACCTACCAGTTAGTTCAATGCACTCAGCCTTTAAGAAGGGATGATTGATTGACAGAGATCCTGCTACAAGTGTGCTGGTAGTTCTCGACTCTCCCAACAAATTAGGTCCCAGGCAGGAACATCACAAGAGATTGGAAATAAAGGAGACAGACACAAAGTACAGCGGTCTTTGGGGAAATCAGCGGTCCTCTAGCATTCCTGTGAGCCAGGAGGCCATGAGTGGAGTCCTGTATCAGTATTTATTCTTTTAGCAAACAATTGTTATCAGTCATGATTTACATGTACATAGCATAAGTTTAAGTTTTAAGATTTCCCAAAGTAACAGTAAACTAGTTAAGTGTACACAAGTTAAAGACAAAATTGTGAGTCACCAGTAAAGTGTATGATCCAAAGGGAACAAAGAGACCGCAGTACTTCTTTCTACTTTATCTAGTTCCTCATTTACTGAGACAAGAACTTAGGAGAGAGGTGGGAACATTGCCTCAAGCTTAGAATAGCAAACTGCTCTCATCTGCTGGGCTGACATCCTTAGATCTTTCTTTCCACCTTCTGATTACAAACCCAGTCCATTTGTGGACCTCCAGGCTGTAGCCCTCAGGCTTCAAGCCCTCGGGCTTCAAGGCAGGGTCCCCTGATCAGTGGAATGTCTCCCTCAAGGTCGAGCAGCTTTTGCTTAGTGAACTGACATGTCCACAGATTGCTCTTTGGCAAAGTCTTGTCCCACTCCTGGGGTTCTCATGTCTTGACCCTGACCCTCAATACAAGTGCAAATTCTGGACCCCAAGTAGCAAAGCCAGAATCTTGACTCTTAGACTCCTGGAAAGAAGAGAGCTCTGCAAGCTGGAGAACCCGGAAAGCTGGTGGTGTAATTCAATCTGAGTCCCACAGCCCAAGAACCAGGAGTACCAAAGTGCATAGGGCAGGAGAAAATGGATGTTCCAGCTCAAGCAGAGGGAGAATGAGCCCTATCTCTGCATTTTGTTCTAATCAGACACTCCTTTGCAGAAAAAGGCAACTCCTCCTAGGTTAGTCATCTGAGGGCAGGAAGGACTGCCCTTCCTTCAGGCTCCAGATTCTAGGCAGGGCTTAGACTGAGCAAGTACCTGAGTCTCAAACCACTCTGCCAGGAAACCTCTCTCACTTTGACCCTGAAGTCCTATTAGTGAGAAGCAGAGAAGAAAAAGCTGACACAGCTTATGAGGATCAAGAAGCCACTGGTGGGAATACTGCAGGGAAACCCCAGGATCATTTCCCAATTCAAATCTTCAACTCAACACAAACTGAGGGTGGGTGGGCTGTGTGGCTGCTCAAGCCTGGGTACCAGGCTTGATTTGGGGTTTTGCCACCAAATGCACCTGCCCTCTCTCTGTGTGTGTTAATAGAAGAAACTTGTTTTAAAGGTAGCAAACAAGTGAGACTCCGTCTTTAAAAAAATTTTTTTAAAATTAGCCAGGTGTGGTGGCGTCCGCCTGTAATCCCTGCTACTCTGAGGCTATAAGATCTCTTGAGCCCAAAAGTTTGAGGCTGCAGTGAGCTATGGATTGGGCCACCACACTCTAGCCTGGGTGACACTGGGAGAACCCATCTCTAAAAAATAGTGATAAATTTTAGAAAATATTAAAGGTAGCAGACAATTTTATTAATAAAGAGATAAAATTTCACTCCTTGAGTATTGAGTGGGAGAATTGTTCTGTCAATATAGTCGGCAAAGGACTCCTTGGATTCCAGATCATCCTTGCTAGTTCTTATATAAAGTGTACAGTTCAAAGATTTTATAAATCATCACTGCAATCTAATTTTAGGTTTCTGTCACCTCCAAAAGAAATTTCTTGCCAACTTGCAGCTACTCCCTATCTCCAGCCACTGGCAATCAACTTTCTGTCTCTACAGAGAAAGATTTTATATAAACAAACTCATAGGACTGAAAGAAAAAAGGGATGATCAAATCTCTGTTCGGCCTGTGTCCAACCCCTGGAGAGTGAAATAGACATTTTTTTCCCTCCTGCAACTGAGACCAAGGTGGAGACTTTGCTCACTGTGGTTGGTGTGGCCCTCCCCCACCCCTGACTCCCAGCTAAAATCAAAGAGCCAGATAAAATTACGATCAATCATGTAATTATTAAGAATGGTTTTTTTTTAGCCCTCCTTGTGCTTACCCATGTTCTCCGAATTGCATTCAGCCGTGTACATTTTTACAATGAAAAATGTAAAACCCTTTTCAAAAAATAAAAATATATGAAAGCGTTGAGCACTATTCGCCAAGTTCCCATTTTCAAAACCCGTATTTGGGCCAATGGCCTTACACTGTTGCGCTCTGGGACCAGATTAAAGTCCAAAAGCAAGGACAGGAATAAAAATAACTCAGTAGGGAGTGTCTTCACTTTCCAGTTGCGCTTTCAGCAACCCCGACGCGCAGTTTCGGCGCTCGGTTCCTATTTCCCCGGGTTCCCCAGCACCCCAGCCCCACGCCGGCTGTGCGGAGCTCGCCCCGCCCCCAGCCCCACCCTCGCGCGACGTCACGCCCACGGCCCCGCCCCTCGACGTCGGGTTTGTCCGAGGACTGACCAGCCTCTTCCGGGAGCCCCGCCTCTTCGCGTTGGCCTGCACGCGCGCACGCGCGCGCGCACACGCACGCCGGCGCCCCCTCGGGGCTCCCGCCACAATCGCGCGTCCATGCCAACACCGCCCAGTCGGCCGGCGCGCGCCCGCCCGCCCGCCACGCCACGCCCCCTGGTTCCCGCCGACCCCAGGCGCGCGCCCGCCCTTCGTTGGCCACGTGTTCTGCGGAGGGCGGTGCAGGGGGCCGAGCCGAGAAGATGTTCTTGCTGCCTCTTCCGGCTGCGGGGCGAGTTGCGGTCCAACGTCTGGGGGTGAGGCGTTTCTGGAACTCGGCTCTCGCCGGTGCAGACATGACGAAGGTGAGAGGCGGCGGCTGGCCCCGGGGCCGCCGTGAGAGCCCTGCCCGCGGGGTACGGGGGTTGCGCGGCGGGTCGAAGCCGCGGTGCCCAGGGCTTCTGCACCAAGTTGCAAAAATCGGTTAAAAGTAAGAGTTCTCCCCTTGCGGGGATCGGCCTTTCCTGGGGCCGTTGGCGAGGGGCTGCCGCTGGCCCCGAGGGTGCCACAGCCGGCTGTTTCAGGAGGGGCGCTGGGGAACTCCTCCTTCGCTTGCCTGGAAGAGTGCTGGGCGCTCAGCTCCTTGGGCGCGACGGGAGTAGCTCTGCTGCTGTTTACTGAACTCTCTCCGCCGGCTGCTGCTTACTTCATCCATCATTTTGTTTAGTCCTCGCAGTAACCCCAGAGAGGACGGTGGCACTTTAGTTCCCACCTCAGCTTGGAGGAAGCGCAAGTTTAGTAACGCGAAGTGTCCTCTGAGGTCCCAGAGTCAGCCAGTCGCAGGGCTCCACGCCAAGACCCTTCGCCAGCTGAAGTGGGACGAAGGTCAGGGAGTAAGTTGCCTGTAAGGGTTTCTAGAGAAAAGGAATGTCTCTGTAGGGAAAAGGGCTTTGCAGAGAGCCTCACCTTTTCGTGAAATTAAAAGAAGAATGCCTTCCATAAGAAAAGCCTTCTACACCTTTTTGAGCTCCAGAAAATTTTGGAGAAAGGACGCTGTTCAGATGCTCAGGATCTGGAAAGGGAAGTGGCTCAGGGGACCAAGCACAAGCTTGGGAGTCATCCCCCAGGACCAGAAAGAAATGACTGTCCCTGGTGAGGAATGCTGTAGACTGAGTGTGAGCTCAGGTCTCCTGCCTGTGTGACAAATGGCAGAGGGACCACAGGCCTGTCTAGCCCTCCATCCTATCTAGATGACAGCTGTGTCCTGTCTCCAGTTCTCCTCTTGGCTCCATGGAATCCCCGGGAATGGACAGTCTCAGGAAAGTCAGAACCTGTCAAAGTCACCAACGCCAAGAAAGCCTGTTTTCTTTGATGGGAAAGACAGAAAGGGCACTGTTTGGTCTAAGTGCCTGTGTGGTTTTTGTAGAAAGGAGAAGGTATCTGGATTCTCGCTCAGTCCTACCACACAGGGGCTCATGTGTCAGGCCAGTTTTCATTTTCCTTGTCTGTCAAGTGAGAGTAAGAGTATGTGTTCTTTCCACCTCACAGAGTTGCCTTAAGACAACAAAATAGTTTCAAAATCATAAATAGCCAGGCAAAAGCAAATACTAAGCAGTGCTAGGTTTGCTTCCTTATGTCAGGTATTTGGAGCCTGGGGCATGTGAAGGAGATGAGGAAGAAGTGAGCCACTAAGTGCTTGGCAGAATGCTCTGCTCCACCCTTGCCTGGGAAGTTGGTTTTTCTCTCTCCTTCAGCCTGTGAGTTGGCCAGAGCCCTTACTAGTAATGGTTGTTGCAGCTATTGGCTTGACTGGGATGGCATCCCAGAATATCTGAGATATGCATTTGAGGGTTGAAGGGGAGGAAAAACTTCCTTTTGCCCTCCTAGGTTCTGTGGTTGGGCCTAAAAAGTAAACTAACATAAGACATATTAACAGGAGAAAAGCTACAAATTTTAATATTTGTATAGGAGTCTGCAAAAAGCAAGTGAAGACCTGAAGAACCTGTTAGGCCCAAAAGCTTATATACCTTTTTAAGCAAAGAACATAAATTATGGGGATGTGGCAAGACAAGGGACTTGGACTAGGAGCAATACATTGTGGAACAATGACTAGGAAATATTAAAATATGTGGGGAAACTAATGGAAGATAAGGGTTATTTCAGTAAGTTTATACAGGTCTATTTTGGGTCAACTTCCAGTCTCTGGTGATAAGAATGTTCTCCTTTTCCTGGGAGAACACCTTTCTCATGGGAATTTTTATGACCTGCTTTTAGGTAGGAAGGCTAGGTCAGAGAGCCCTTTTATCTGCCATTTCTCAAGTTCCTTTAGCTCAAAATAATCACTATGTCAAAGCAGCGTATTTTGGGGTGGCATGTTTTGAATCCCTTCGGGCTCTAACTTGGTGATAAATGGATTTGTTTTCTTAAACAAAACACCTTTTTGCTGTATTTGAAAGTGGAACCCTTTCCTGGGTGACCCTGAAAACCCAGGACAGGTAATATGACAGTCCTTCTTTGGCAGGGATCTGAAACACTCAGGCAGGTGCACATGTCACTGCCTGCCCAGCACCTGCTTCTTTGGCTTTGTTCTTCTGTGCTGGGGGAAGGACATGGTTTTGGTGGAATTATTTGCTCCTTCTGGGATTTGGGAACTCCTGAGCCCCTGTAAGGAATCTACTCTAATTATATTCATCTTTTTTTTTATTATTTTCAGGGCCTTGTGTTAGGAATCTATTCCATGGAAAAAGATGATGATATGCCACAGTTTACATGCGCAGGAGAGAAATTTGATAAACTGGTAGCTGGAAAGCTGAGAGAAGCTTTGAACATGTAAGTGTTACCTGAGGATTCTAATTTTTAAAGTGCCCCCAAATCAAAAGAGTATATTTTTCTATGCTTTATTGTTCAGTAGAGAAAATGCCTGGAAGTACCCTGGCTGGAAACCTCTCAGGGGAAGTGAAAGTATGTGTCTGGAATGTGCTTTGGTACTTTGTATTGCCATATGGGTGGATCTGCAATTCTGGGAAGTCACACTATTTCCAGTTCAATCACAAATCTGTTGTGAACAAACGACTGACTGACCCAGAAGAATCTGGAAAGTACCAGATTTCTTCAGCCCACTCTCCTGGTTCAAATTCACTTTCCCCACCCTCATTCTCCCTGCTCACCTTCCCACCAGCCTCTATACCTCCTTTAACTCTCCTGTCATTGGGGGAGACTGCAGAGTCCGTGGAATAGATAAAAACAGCTTAAGGGCTCTGCTCTTTTTTACTGCATCCCTGGAGTTTCTAGGGCAGGGGTCCTCAAACTTTTTAAACAGGGGGCCAGTTCCCTGTCCTCAGACCGTTGGAGGACGTGCACTGTGGGCCCGGGACAAGTAGGCTGCTAAGCAGGACAGGCAGAGGCGGCAAAAGCACCCAGAGGGCCAGATAAATGTGCTAGGCAGCCCACTTGTGGCCCACGGACCATAGTTGGAGGCCACCTATTCTAGGGCTTCTCAAATTTTAAAGTGAATCAGCTGGGGATATAGTTGAGACTGCGGATTCTAATTCAGTAAGTCAGTGGGGCCTGAGGTCCCAACAAGTAGGGAAACACTGGAGCTGCAGACCACATTTGTCGCAAATAAAAGTATCCACCTAAGCCATTACAACTATGTATTAATAATATTCGGATTGGGTAATGGAATTTGCATCCCCTTTCAATTACCAGTTCTCCATCAGTAGACAGAGCCTTCTCAAGTGTCTTGCTTAATTCGTTAATCCAAAAGCTAACCTGTTAGAGTAAGGAACACCTGGCCTTTCTGACCGATGACTGCAGCCCAGAGCATCTGCTCCAGGCCTCTGGCTATAGTTGTGTAACTGTTTTGTTTGGAAAATTTCCAGGATCCTGTCTGTAGAAAAGCCTCCACAGACAACCTTTAAGCCAAACACATTGCCATCAGTCAGCCACATAGGTTACCCTAATGTTTTTGGCGTCTTGTGTCTTTTATTGAAAAGGTTTAAGAGTCATTCAGTTCAGCCATATTGCAGTGCTCAGATCCCCATGTGGCCACAGTGCTGCTTTCTATTGTTTTGAAATAAACTTGTGTTAGATCTAAATCATTTTCGAACTAGAATTAGAAGTGCTGCATCTAAGAAATCTGGCCTGAGAGCATTCTGTGTTTGGATAAGAACATGAATAAGGAAATCCACAGAAGCAGTTAGTACAGAGTATTGTGACAATGCTAAAAGTATGTACATGTCACTTACCAAGCGAGCAGAGCAAATTGATTTTGAAAACCACTATTTCCTCTTGTTTTAGATCTGGACCACCTCCGAAGGCAGGCAGGACCCGGACCTTTTATGGTCTGCATCAGGTATGGCATGAAGATAATGTTAATTTGGTAAACCATCGGTGAGCACCTACTATGTGCCAAGTACTGTGGCCGCCTGGTCATACTAAAAGTTTTGTATTGGATTGTATAGTTTTATTCCAGTACTAGTGGAAGAATTAAGATCGTAAAGAGATGAATCACTGTCAAAAAGAACAGCATATCTTATATTCCTCAATCTGAAGACTTGCTTGGTCCAGCTATGGTACTGCCTACATAGAATTATTTGCAGGGTTATCCTCACTCTACCTTTCAAATATATAAGGACTTAAAGAAAAAAACCCACAACAAAATTTCTTACAGTGAGTTTAGCCCTGTGCTGTGGTTAAAGTAAGAGTGTGAGAGCTCAGTGAGTCTCCCCACTTCTACCATTCCCTGCTGGAAACGAATGCTCGGAAGAAATAAAGTGGTTGATTCGTGTATTTGTGGAACAGGACTTCCCCAGCGTGGTGCTAGTCGGCCTTGGCAAAAAGGGAGCTGGAATTGACGAACAGGAAAACTGGCATGAAGGCAAAGAAAACATCAGAGCTGCTATTGCAGGTTATTTTACTTTTTAAGTTTAATATTGATAAAGACTCTTAAGGATCACTCTTTTACGATTATTTCTCAGCCCCTTTTTGTCCATTTCCCATCAGTACCTGTATCACATTCGTACAGAAATCCCTCATGTAAACAAAATTTCAGTTTCCCTAACTGAATGTGCTTGGCCTTACAATAGATGCAGAAGGTTAACCCGTGGAATTTTGCTTTTCATATTTCTGTATCTTGTGTTTGGAGGTTTTACTACCAGTTTTTAACTCTTGTAGTAGTGACCTTGGAGTTGTATTTTGCCAGAAACTGTGGTGTGTGGATTGTTTTTTTCTTTTTGTAACACAGCTGTGGTGTTGCCTAACCTTTAAATAACATGGAGTCATCATATTTTACAAATCAGAGAATAAGGATGCGAGGTGGTGTGGCATGCTTATTTATCGCTAGCCAAAGGTGTGTGGGTGTCTCCTGGTGTCCTGAGGCAGACGCCCTTCACTCACGTCAGAGCTGAGCAGCAGGACGAACCTTTCTCGAGGAGAGATTGTGGTTAAAAGATGCTTTGAAAAACATTTCTGAAACAGTGATAATTGGCTTGACTAATCTCTGGCCCTTGTATATTATAAATGCTTGTTAAACTTTCAAAGTTCATGTTAAGTGATTATTTCGTAACTTTTATTTACGAGTCTTTCCTGACCTGATCGTCATCAAATGCTGCGGTAATAATGGACTTTGCTCAGTTGCTTGGATATAATTTCAGCGTCATCACTTTCATGTCATTTTTAAACTGAGCAGCTCTTGGTGGTTGGGAAGCGTCATCAGAAAATCATGGTGTTTCAGAAATAATAGTAGGAATAGCTGCCACCTTCTGAGGGCTTGCCCTGCTCTGCGAGGAGATACTCATTTTGTCTATCCTCACCACAACTTGGAGGTGACCCGTGTCCTCATTTTACAAAGGAGGAAATGAGGCTCAAAATACTCAGGCGTCAGGGCTGGGATTTGTACCCCAGTCCTGGTGTTTTCTCAGCACACCGCACCATGCCTCTGCCTTCTGCCACTTGAGTTGTCTTTGACTGACTCCAGTTTTCTGGTTCCTCTGTCCTTTCACAGCGGGGTGCAGGCAGGCTCAAGACCTGGAGCTGTCATCCGTGGAGGTGGATCCCTGTGGAGACGCCCAGGCCGCCGCGGAAGGCGCGGTGCTCGGTCTCTATGAATATGATGACCTAAAGCAGAAAAAGAAGACACGCGTGTCAGCGAAGCTCCACGGAAGGTGATGGAAGGAAACCAGGAGGTGGGAGGTGCCCCTGGCTGACAGCCTGGCCTTTCGGATATATATGAGCTGTCTGCTTTTCAGTGGCGGCCACTGCGGCGTGGCTTGTGCGCGCCCTCCCCTGTCGCCTCAGCCGTTTCACAGTGGGATAACTGCCAAGCCCAAATGCCGCTCCTGGCTCTTGTCAGTTGAGCACGTTCCCTCCACGACTCCCTAGACCCCTCCGTACTTGCGGCTTACTAGGAAGCCACAACCAGGTGGCTCTTCCAGAGAGGGAGGAACCACATGACAGACACGTTTCTGCAGATTGCAATCCGGATAATTTCCATTGCCCTGGCAGCTACTGGCGTGGTGCTGAATGCTGGCGCTGCACTGGTGGAGGGAGACTGGGTGCTGTCCATCGGTCCTTGCCCTCGGGGTCTAGTGGAGGAGACTCTCGTTGAGTACCTGTGACTTTCTGGCCCTATTCTAGGTTGTGGGAGATGAGGTCCCTGTGGTCAGGAATAGGCAGGATGAGACTTTTCAGTGGATGGTGCTGAGAGCAGTGGTCACCCTTGTCACTGCCTGAGGGGCGGCCGTGTGTGTGTGTGTGTGTGTGTGTGTGTGTGTGACTGAGAGTATGGGCATCGGTCCCGGCTCCACTGCCTGCTCCTGGCTGACCACACGTGACTGAAGTCTCTGGGCCTCGCTTTCTTCGTTTTCTTGGTGGGGTTGTGATACTGATTACATGGGGTTCTTATGATGACCCAAGACAGAACATGCCCAGCAGGTGGCGCGTGGTGTGCCCTCAGAGCTATCAGCTGCTATTTGCCCACCTGCACAACTGTCTTTATTGAAGAGCCAGAGTCCTGAAACATGGGCCCATGTCCTTTTTCTTCTAAATGATCCTCGTTTATAGATAGGTTGGGATCTAAAACCTTGGGCCAGGCAAAAGAAGGCAGAAAGGCCTGTAATTCCACATCAGAATCATTGCCATCTGCTCACTTGCAGTTAGCACTTGGGGCTGTGTCATTCCTGACTCAGTGAGAAAGAACAAAATGGGCCTTTCAAATAGGGACTCCTCATCCCTCAATTTATGTGGTAGATCAAGAGCTTCAGAGGCCTGTCAGTACAACCCCTTTTCATGCAGCTGAGGTTCCTGAAGGGATGGGCTTGGCCAGGCCGTTCTGGTATTACTCAGCTGTTTGCACCTACCATCTGCCACCTGGGTCAGATCACAGAGAGTGAATGTGTCAGTCGTTTTTTATTTGTAGTCTTCCTCTTTTGTTTTTGCTAAGATAAGAGCCACTCCTACCTGCAAGAGAGGTTGTGACAGTAGCTTTGTGCTTTCTTCTGCCAGCGGGGACCAGGAGGCCTGGCAGAAAGGAGTCCTCTTTGCTTCTGGGCAGAACCTGGCACGCCACTTGATGGAGACCCCAGCCAATGAGATGACGCCAATCAGATTTGCCGAAATTATTGAGAAGAATCTCAAAAGTGCTAGTAGTAAAACAGAGGTCTATATCAGGTAATTCAGAGTTGTTGTCATTGATTCATAGCATGTTACAGCCAGAAGGAGTCTTTGATAGCCTAAAATCTAGCTCCCTCACTGTTCAGAGGAGTAACCTGAAACCAGAGAGCTGAGGTGATGCCCCCAGATGCCACATGCAAGTTGGGATAGGGCTCAGTTTGAGGTTGTTTTTATATTAACTTTTTCTTGCCTTTGAGAAAGTGCCATGACTTTACACTATACACTGCATGTGTGAGGGCATGGTTAACAGCTGTATTGAGACATAATTCACATTCCATACAATTCACTCCTGCAAGGTGATTCCATGATTTTTACTATAGTCACAGAGTTGTCCTACCATGACCATGATCCATTTAGAACACTTTTGTTACCCTCAAAAGAAACCTTGTTCCCATTAGCAGTCATACAGAGATGCATGATAGTGGACCTCATCCTCAAAGAAATGAGGATGTTGTAGGAAGGAATAGGGAGGTATGTGGAGGTGCTGCAGGAACAGAGGGAGGAGAATTGCCAAAGATTAGGGAGCCTGAGCAGACTTGGAAGGTTGCTTAGAGGTTTGCAGACTAGAGAGTGGGGCGGGGCATTTCGGGCGGGAAGCAGGTGTGCAGTGGCCCCTCGGGAAGCACGAGGCTTGTGGCTGAGCAATGGGAAGAGTTCAGCAGAGACCAGGCAGGGCACAACTCATTAAACTAGGACATAGCTGCACCAGACCCTCTCTAGTGTAGGTGGGTATACATCAAAGAAACACAGACAAACAGGTCTTCCAGAAGGGCAGGACTTTAATAAAACATCAAGTACTGAGTTTGTGATTAAAAGTGCCCACGTTATACAGCTTTCTTTCTTTTGAAGTGATTTTGTTTTTTATCACATCTTCCAGTTTTATATTCTTTTTCCTTCGAAGTTTGGTGACCATCCCTTCACGATGCCATCCCAGTTTAGTAGTTCTAACAAATAGATAGGCAAGTGCATGGGTATGGTTGTTGCTGGTCTGTGGGAATATAGGATTTCCCTCTTGGCCTAGTTACTGTGGCCAGAAATCAATACAAAGACCTTTTGTGCCCCCAGCCTAGAAAGAATAGCAGTATGGCATCAGTTTTCTAGTTTGCACTAAGGACGGTTTCTATTCTGTTACCCCACTGGTCCTGTGTTTATTAACTAAGAAAATTAGTGTTCTTGTTTCAATCAAAGACATTTCTTTTTTCTTTTTTCTTTTTTTTTTTGAGACAAGAGTCTTACTTTGTTGCTCAGGCTAGAGTGAGTGCCGTGGCATCAGCCTAGCTCACAGCAACCTCAAACTCCTGGGCTTAAGCAATCCTACTGCGTTAGCCTCCCGAGTAGCTGGCGCTACAGGCATGCGCCACCATGCCCTGCGCTGATTTTTTCTATATATATATTAGTTGGCCAATTAATTTCTATTTTTAGTAGCGACGGGGTCTCGCTCAGGCTGTTTTCGAACTCCTGACCTTGAGCAATCCACCCGCCTTGGCCTCCCAGAGTGCTAGGATTACAGGTGTCAGCCACTGCGCCCGACCAATCAAAGACATTTCAAACTATGATAGAAATTGTGAGAATAATGTTCTGACATTAAAAAGATAGAATTCCAGCAATTCTAAAACAGCCAAGAAATAAGATATTTTATTCTAGTAGGTGACGTATAGCTTTGTTAGTTTTTTGTTTGTTGGTTGTTTTGATTTTTTTTTTGTCATTTTTAGAAATAAAAAAATAAATCAGTAGATCCCCTAACTATATGTAAGCACCCTTTAGGGTCTCAGAACCTCGCCAATTTTATTTCTAAATTAAACCTTAGAAATATCTGAGTAACTTAGGGGAAAAAAAACGAGTAGTAATTATTTACTTAGTATGCACCATTACTTCACATTGCATTAGGTACCATGCATAAATTCTCTTAATAGTTCTATAATCTTTTGATGGAGGAATCGTTGATCTCATAGATGAGGAATAGGCTCAGAAGCAAGTGACTTGCCCAGGAATATACCAAAAGTAAAAATAGAATGTGATAATTGAAGCCTTAACATGTGAGTATATTTTAAGAGCTTGTATATTATACTTTTTCGTACACTGGTGAGCTTTTTTCTAAGTTATTTTCTTTTTTAACAACATAATCACTTTTTTCCCCTTTCCGCACCGTAGACCCAAGTCTTGGATTGAGGATCAGGCCATGGGATCATTCCTAAGTGTGGCTAAAGGATCCGACGAGCCCCCAGTCTTCTTGGAAATTCACTACACAGGCAGCCCCGACACAAGTGAACAGCCCCTCGTGTTTGTCGGGAAGGGAATTACTTTTGACAGGTACTTCATGGCGTCTGTGCTTTGTACTTCAATGAATGCTTTGTTGGACTTGCCTTTTCTATTTTTAGTAGTATCTTTTGAAGAGAAGTTTGTAATTTTGATGAAGTAGAATTTTTCACTTTTTTTGTTTTATAGCTTATGCTTTTTTTGTCCTAAGAAATTGTCTATGCCAAGGTCTGTGTTTTCTTGTATAAGTATTCATGGTTTTTTTTTTTTTTTTTTGAGACAGAGTCTCACTTTGTTGCCCAGGCTAGAGTGAGTGCCATGGCGTCAGCCTAGCTCACAGTAACCTCAAACTCCTGGGCTCAAGCAATCCTGCTGCCTCAGCCTCCCAAGTAGCTGGGACTACAGGCATGCACCACCATGCCCGGCTAATTTTTTCTAATATATTAGTTAGCCAATTAATTTCTTTCTATTTATAGTAGAGACAGGGTCTTGCTCTTGCTCAGGCTGGTTTTGAACTCCTGACCCCGAGCAATCCGCCCGCCTCGGCCTCCCAGAGTGCTAGGATGACAGGCTTGAGCCATCACACCCAGCCAGAATCTGCTTGTTTTTTACACAAGAAAAGCCTACAGAGATTTTGATTGAGATAACTTATTATTAATCTTTCCTTTGTAAAAATTGGGAGTCTGTGTAGTTAATGAAAGGGGTAAGACCAACATAGGGACACCTGTTAGGAGACCTGGGAAACATCCAAGGACAGAGGGTGATAGCATCAACTAGGGTAGATGCAGTATGAAAAAATGGGTAGATCTGAGAGAGATTTAAAAGGTGAGCAAAGATAATTGCTGGTCTTTGACTGGCAGTTTCTTTAGAACTACAATCATAAGAATGAGTAGAGAGCCTAACTTCCAGAAGAAGCCTATGGCAAGAGGATAGAAGAAAAACTTCCTGTGCACCAACATGCTCCATCTGCCCCATGGGGTTGCCTCATATATTTCTTTTCTTATTTTGAGCTGGTGGATACTCTTTAATTCTATATGTACATGCTGACCATGCTTCTGAAATGAGTGAGAAGTCGGACGTGATTTCTAAGGATAGCAGAGCTCAGAGCAGGGAGTAGACATCTCTCTGAGTCACAGGGCAAGTCAGCTGCAGATCTCAATATGACTCAAAGTTGAAGCCCCTGGCTCTGTGCTTGTCCTTTGAAGCATGTCGCTTCTGGACTCTTACAGAATAGAAGCAGAAAAGCCACTAGTTAGAAACCTCTTTGGGAAAAGTAGTTTGGTTTCTTGCTGATTGCTAATTAATACCTCACCCGGCTGTCACGTAGTAGTGCTGTCTCCGAGGCTTTGCGCCTGTGCCTCACTCGGGTTGTATTTTGCCATCAGCAGGATAGAGCACACCTTGTATGGTATCAGAAGGAAGCATTACCCCTACCCCTCTATTTTTCTGTGGGTTTGAGAGGAATGCTCCCAGTCTTCTAGGAGCTTATCAGTTTTCCTTAAATAGCTCATGGCCTTCAGGTTCAATAAATTGATCAATTCATAAAATTTGCTGAAAAGACAATCTATGTGGGTGTCAGGAATTACTGAGATAATACAAAGATGGAATTTGGGCAGCACTGATTTTACAATATAGTAATGTTTCCAGTGGCACTGGTGAAATTTCATTGAAATAGACATAAAATGAGCTAAGACACTCATGTATATTTCTGGAATTATTTTGCATCTTTTATAAAGACTACAATATCCTTATTGAAAATGTTGAGGGGTCAGGTGAGGTGTCTCACACCTGTAATTCTAGCACTTTAGGAGGCCAAGGTTGGAAGATTGCTTGAGGCCAGGAATTTGAGACCAGCCTGAACAAGAGTGAGACCCTGTCTATACAAAAAATAGAAAAAGTAGCCAGGCGTGCTCCTGTAGACCCAGTTACTCAGGAGGCCGAGGCAGGAAGATCACTTGAGCCCAGGAGTTTGAGGTTGCAGTGAACTATGATGAGGCTGCTGCATTCCAGCATGGGTGACAGAATGAGACCCTATCTCAAAAAAGAAAAGAAAATGTTGAGATAATTTAGATTCTAAATTTAGAAGTTTTACTTCTTTGGCAGGTATATGCTGCTTTTATGTGGCAGTTAACCCTCAGTTTATGTATTCTTTCTTAGGAAAGTAATTTTGGCCATTTTCTTTGCTATTAACAGTGCACATTGTTTTTTTTCCCCTATAGTGGTGGTATCTCCATCAAGGCTTCTGCAAATATGGACCTCATGAGGGCTGACATGGGAGGAGCTGCAAGTATATGTTCAGCCATCGTGTCTGCTGCAAAGCTCAATTTGTCTATTAATATTATAGGTACGTGGGACAAGGGCTATCTTGGAATCCAGTCAAATGGCAGAACTGAGAGAGCAGACAGTTTCCCCTAATCTGAAAAGATTATGAAACCATTTTTTAAATAGCTTTTCATCAAGCAGAAGCTTTTTTAGCTCAGGTTAAGTGTTTTGCTGTCTGAGCTGATTGAGTTAAATGTGTTTTGCAACCAGTGGGCTATAACTAGAATTGATTTGTTTTACTTCTGCAAAAAGTGGTTAGCAGTCAGGAGCATATAATGTTGAGGTTGTGGTTTACTCTAGTAAAAATTGCTCAGCAGTTGGAGTGGAAGGACACTGATGGCTCATTTACTGATTGCCTCATAGGATTGTGGCCAGTTAAATGGCACAATACATAGAAAGTGCCTGGGACAGAAAAAGTGCTCCAGGATGTGAATTCTTAGTCTCATAAGATGCAGACACAGTGTGGGAGTTTGTAGCATTGCTTATACCCATGCTTCAGAGGAGCGGGGAGAGAGACTTAGGTTAACTGACAAGCCCAGTCACGTCTGTAAATGGTAGAATTAGAACCCAAGCCCTGTCTGACCTGCCCCCACCCCTTTTTAATCACATAATCCTTCCCCCCCCAACTATTTGAAAGTTGTAGACATTATAATATGCCTCCTAAGAAAATGGATTTTCTAGGTAATGATAATCTGATTATCCTTGCCAAAGATTAATACCTAACTCAAATTTCCCAACATGTAAAAAATGTCCATTTTATTTATTTATATTTAGTTTTTAAATCCAGGAGCCAATCAAGTTACCATGTCCCTTTAGATCTCTTTGACCTAGAACTCTTTTCCTGCCTTTTTTTCTTTCATGACATAGGAGATTTTGAAGGGGCTTAGGCTTAATCTCATGATGTTCAACAATTTGGGTTTATGTGATTGTTTCTTCTTGATGAGAATTGAGTTAGACTTCTTTGGTGAGAAGATGACATGGGTGATGTGTACATCCTGTTGCTGACACACATAATGTCAGTTGTGTCATTAGTGATGCTACATTTGATCATTTGGCTAGGGTGGCATCAGTGTCTGGCTCGCTTCTGATAGCTCACTGGTGGCCTCCTGTCCCATGGGTGGTGTGTTTGGACCCAGCATATTCAGTGTTACTTCCTATATTCTTTCCAACAGGTTTGGCCCCTCTTTGTGAAAATATGCCCAGCGGCAAGGCCAACAAGCCTGGGGATGTCGTCAGAGCAAGGAACGGGAAGACCATACAGGTTTGTAAGTGGAAGAGACAGCACTCACCTTTAGGCATGGCTCACGAAATCCCATAGTAGCCACATAACTACAGCTTGAATGGGTGCAGAGCCGTGGCTCCATGTTAGAGAGGGTGGTGTCTTTAGTGCTGAGTGGCTTTTCTTGCAGAGTCAAAAGTATCTCTTTCTGGGAATTTTAAGTATTTTTTTCCTGCCTTATTTTTCTTCCAACTTCTTGTGTGTATGCACACAGAGTATCATGAATTTGTAGCCAGCATGCAGAGCATGGCAGAATGTTAAAAGAGCGGGCTACTTTCTGGACGTACCTTTGCTGTGAATAACTTGTTTCCATTATAGGTGTTCAGGTAGAAAACACTGTCCTATATCATGGGCTCTGTACTCGTGGGTGTGTGGCAGCAGGTCCTTCGTGTGGCATGTGCACAGGCTGCCTGTGATGATGGACCTTATTAAAAAGAAGAGACTATAGTTAGAAAGGGTTCCTGAACTTGTGAGAATGCTTGTGTCTGGGATCCTGGCTGTAGCTTTTTTAAAGTTCCCTAGCTCATTTGTTTTCAGAAATCTTTAAGGAGGAAATTTTTCCTCTTATTATACATTTGTTGGTAAAATGGACCAGATGTATTTCTGTTTATTTCATCTTCCAAAGTCATCAGCCTTAGGTCATCATCTCTGGTACAGGGATTATTAAATTATATTTGCTCTCCAGATTAGATATGTTCGTATTCCTGTAGACGGGTAAGTATGTAACTTGATGACATACATTATAGTAGCCTTTTCCCACTTTTCAGTTGTGCACTGTTGTGAGGGTCAGTTTTCATATTCGTTACTTGTGCTCTCTCAGCCTTTCTGTTTTTGATCCTCCTCTTTGCAGATCGATAACACTGATGCCGAGGGGAGGCTCATACTGGCTGACGCACTCTGTTATGCGCACACCTTCAATCCCAAGGTCATTATCGATGCCGCCACCTTAACAGGTCAGACCACGTGCTCTCCCTGTTTTTCTTCTCAGGAAGTCTTGTTTGTTGTGTGGAGTATACACACCGTGCTCAGGGCATTAGTTGGCTGAAACTGGGGACACTCCATTGGCATTCAAAGATCTTTTGCCAGTGGAATCATTCTATGTTGTAAAAATGTTTTGAATGTTAGGTTTGTTGTTTTAAAAGTTTCTAGGATATACCTTTTAAAAAAGAAATAACAGGTGGATCAGGTTGACTCATCTAGATTGACATCTAAAAATGATATTAACGAGGTGTTTTCTGTTACAGTTACCTGCCGTTTGATCCAAAGATTAGTGATAAATCCCAAAATCAATAGCTGTCTTATTTTTTTTAATAAACTAATTGTAACATATCTCATGTCCACTAAGGTTTTGGAACTTTTTGTACTTGATTTTATAAAGAAATGAAAACATTTTGCAGGGAGTTACAAGGTCCTCATTTAACAGATATGAAGTGTGCGCTTGAAGGCCTGGCTCAGGTGTGGCTCCCAGCTAAGCCGCTGACTAGTTAACTGGTCGGCCTTGGGCAAGTTCCTTGGCCCCCTTGAGCATTAGTACTTGGAGATAATTCTGTTTGCCTAGCAGAGAAGATTGGAGGGAGTCTTTGGAAAGCCTCTTTAATACAGCAGCCATGTGTGGCAGGTGTTCATCGAAGTCAGGGCGTGACACCACCAGCCTGCAGGGCAAAGAATACATTCCTGACAGATAGGTGGCGCCTAATTACAGATTCCCGACATTCATAATCTTTCATCCAAAAGTTCTCTTTCTAGGAATTCATTCTTACTCTGCCTCTTAAGATTAAAATTCAGGTCATTTTCATCCTTTGGTTTTAGTCTCTCCCCGGTCATGTGAGCCTTACTGTAGCAGAAATCATTTCATGTTCCCTTTTATACGTGGATCTAACAGTAGTCCACAGATTTACTGCTAAGAGTTTTTTCTTAAAGCTGGCATTATAATGTGCTCATGGTTTTTGGCCTCCCTATTCAGTTTAGCAAACACTTTAAGATGAAAGGCAGAGGTTCTAGGGCAGAGGATTGGGGCAGTGGCAGTGAGGTAGGTGGCAGTCTGCCCTTTCTGTAAGTGAGGAAACACAGAGTATAGAAACATCTAAGTTTCACAACTTAAAAATAATTTTCATAATTGCCACTTGGGAAGTATTTTTTCCCAGACACTTAATATCAGGACCCCATATCCCCTTTTTTCCCAGTTTGAGGGTTTGAGAAAGGGGGGAAGTTGGCTCCAGGTGACTAAGGGTGACCTGATGGGTGAGCCTTTAAATTGCCCTGGACATCGGCCTAGTTGAAGGCTCTTGATAGTTCACTTCAGTTTCCCAAATACTTAGTCCTTTCGGAGTTCCAGAAGCTAGGGTTCAAAGGGGAGAATAGGCCAGGTGTGATGGCTTATGCCTGTAGTTCCAGCACTTTGAGAGGCCAAGGCAGGAGATGGCTTCCAGACCAGCCTGGGCAACATATAGCAAGGCCTCATCTCTACAGAAAAATAAAAATATTAGACAGTCATGGTGTGCACCTTTAGTCCCAGCTACTCAGGAGGCTGAGCCAGGAGGATTGCTTAAGCCCAGGAGTTTGAGATTGCCGTGAGTTATGATGACACTGCTGCACTCCAGCCTGGGTGACAGAGTGAGACTGTGTCTTAAAAAAAACTAGAGGAGAATAAGAACCAATTTCCAACCTCAAATTCTTGAGAGGAAGGAGTACAGTCTTAAGAGGTAGAAGATCTGATTTTAGAATTTGTCCTGCCTCTTAATAGCATGTGACTTTGGACTAGGCTTTAGTTGTCTCATCCATAAAAGGGGCATAATAGCACTTCATTGACGGGAGGAGTTTATGTGAAGATTAAATGAGATGATACAGGTTGATGGACCTGGCTCAGGTACATTCTAGACACTGAAGAGATATTACTGTCCTTTAAAAGTTAGGTCTGTACCCAGACTGTAGGTGCAGAGACGTGTTCAGGAATGGCCATCCAATCATGCTGCTTCTTTTCATTTTCTTAACTCATGGTTGTAGTTTAGGATCGAATGAGTATAGTGACATCCTCACTTTCCTTGGAGCTTTGATGTTTCTTCCAGAGCAATTCTGGTAACGTCAGTTGGTGAGCACCTCAGCACAGGGCTCCAAACGTGCCTTGTAAATGAAAATGGACGGAACGCCTCTGCTGTTAGTAATTCTGAAAATGGTGGTGGTAACAGTTTTGAAATGATAAAAAATAAATTAAAAAAAAAAAAAGGTGGATGGCTGCATCTATACTGACCATGTGTACATGGACTTTTTTCCCTTTCAAAGATTTTCGATCCACAGCTGTTTGCATCCATGGGTGCAGAATCTTTGGATACAGAGGGCCAGCTGTATATAGTATCTTCAAGTTTACGTTTTCCTTGGGTGAGGTTCTAATGAGCAGTTTCATACAAAGTCACAGTTGGAGCAGCCTGGACATACTTTTTGCATTGTAGGGAATAAATGTCACCTTATCACAGCTATAGAATTGCCCCCCATTTCAGTGCTGTCTCCTCTGACATTCCTTATGAGTGTCCTAGTTCTAATGGTACTGGATTGTGCCAGTAGTGAAGGGTAGTAAGTTTTGCTTTTTCCTTTTAATAAATACTGACTGAGTTTCTTTATGCCAGGCAGGGTGCTAGTTCCCAAGTATATGCTTAGGAATCAGATTCGGGCCAGGCGGATAGTGAATGAGAGTGCTGAGAGCTAACACCAAAACCAAAGAAGACAGCACTTAGCTGCTGTGCCTGATTGTATACACAAGAGAACCTGGGAATCTGGTTTTTAAGTTGATTTTTTAAAAATACACTAATTAATTTAAAAAGAGAAGTCAGCCCAATGGGACATAGCTTTGTTAGAGAAGGAAATAAAGATGAAACAAATAAATATGATACAGTCATAACAGGCTTTTTTTTTTTTATACAAAATGTATCAAATTCTTTTTTTTTTCAATTTGTAATATTCTTTTGTATTAGAAGTTATTTTATGTTTGCTAATGTGTGAGCATTGGTTAGAGGTTTTCCCTGTATCAAATTCTTGTAGTGGGTACTTAGTGAGACATGATTAAAATTGCTGAAAATTAGAGATGCCTCAGTGCCAGCAATATGTAAATTATGATACCACTAGCCAATGGACTGTTTTAAGATCATGAAAAAATACTTTCAAACATCTGTTTACAAAAAAGGAAAACACTTTTAAAGCATAAAAGGAAGAACACATACTTTAACACATAGAGTATTGTCTTAATTATTTTTTAAAAAACTTTAGAAGCAGTCTGGAAGGAAATATCAAAAGTAGGTAACAGTTATCCCTGGGATGAGATTATTGGTGATACTTGATATCATTTCCTTTTTGTGTTTCTTAAATACTTTAAGGTGGATTCTAGCTTGAGAAACATAAAAATATATTAAGTATGAACAGTAAAGATTGTCTAAGCTTACCTATTTTTGAAAATGAGGGAGCCATTAAGTAGCGTTAAAGGCTAAAGTTTTGTTGTGAGTGACAGAGGAGCTTGTTTTGCCTGCAGAGATTGCAGCTGACCTGAAGACTTGTGTCTTACAGGTGCCATGGACATAGCTTTGGGGTCAGGTGCCACTGGGGTCTTTACCAATTCAACCTGGCTCTGGAAGAAACTACTTCAGGTAGGAATAATGTGTACGGATCTAAATTATGGGGATGATGAATAAATTATTCTTCAACCCCTGTGTTAAAGTGATTTTTCTGCTTTTGGTTTGCCTTTGAATTGAAGATGAATCATAGCAATGAAGTTGATTCAGTGGCTTTGGGTTTTCAACACATGCTCCTAAAGTATGGGTATGATACGACCTTGCTCTCCCTAGCAGCCTCAGAATGATATGCAAACCACTCATAAATAACATGGCCATGGCTTGCAATCTCTGAGGTAGAAAAAGTCATGAGGACAGTTTTGTGGAGAAGGAGTGCCCTTTTAATGACTGCGTGTTGTGAGCTGAGCAGACAAGCTGTGTAAGGGAGCTCACCCTGCTTGGGTGAGGACATCTTCTGACCCTGACCCCCGAGCTCTGTGCCTCCCTCCACGACCTTTCACAGCCAGCCTCTTCCCAGCAGTCGTCTCCCATCCTGTCTCACGCACTCTCACACACACACACACATGCTCTCACTCACTGCCATTGGCTTCTTCTCAGCAGTCGCCTCCCCATCCTGTCACATTCTCTCTCTCTCTCTCTCTCTCTCTCTCTCTCTCTCTCTCTCTCTCTCTCTCTCTCTCTGCCATTGGCTTTCACCTGCCCGCACCACTGTTAGCCTAACACTGTCAGCCTCAAGACAGCATGTGACTCTGTGGCCTCTTGGTAATACCCAGCTCTTGGCTTCTGTGGTAGTCTCTCTGGACTCCCTTCTCCTATAACTGTCCTGCTTTCATCTCCTTGGTGGGCTGTTCCCTTTGTCCACCCTGTTGGCTTCTGTTCAGGCCTTGGCCACAGGCTCTTGGTACGCCCCATAGTCCTCACCGGGAAGCCCCAGCCAGTTTATCTGCTGCTTGTTCCTATCTCTCCTGAGCTGCAGCCCCCGTGTGTCCATTCGGCCGCTCATGCATTCATTCATTCTTTCAGTGAATCATTAATAGGAGCTTTTTATGTGCCAGTGGGGAATAAACACAAAATGTTCCTGAATATATTTCTCAAGGTTGGTTTAAGATCCTAAACTGTTTCCCTTTCACATCTGTCCTCTTGTCATTTGTAAAGCCTCCACCCCTGACCTCAATACTCAGTACTGCAATAGTCAGTCATTTCCTTCTAGGCTGGGCCAGGTACCTCTTTTCTGGGGCATCTCCCTTACCCACTGTCCCTTTCTTTTATGACACCCACAAATTTAAGCTTTTTTTTTTTTTTTTTATAAAAAGAAAGTTATATGTGCATAAACATTATTTAAGTCAACAATCAGTAGCCTACAGTCTGTTTTCCTAGAGGCAGCCACTTTCAGCCCTTAGCTGATTCATCTGGTATTTATATCCTAAAATAACAGCTTATATATTGCTATATTGATTTTTCACTTTCTGGATCTTAATCTTTGAGTTCTTCCTGTAGTGAGTTAAACAGTTTCTTTATGTATCTGTTTCTCTTGCTAGCCTATAGGCACTTTACTGGCTCAGATAGTAATACCTCAGCACACCTGGTAGTGCTCAGTAGAAGTTTAGTAAACAATGAATGAATGAATGAATGGGTAAATGATAAGTGAATGAATGAATTCGGTCACCTTGTCTCAAAATCTCCTTCAGGGAAGCAGGTCCAGGCATGTGTTTCTCAGCACACCAAGGTGACCAGCCTCACAAAGACTTTTCTTTCACCCTAATCAAACTTACAAAGTCTGTAATCTTAGTTTGATGATTCTAGCAAATGCCCTATGGATTTGTAGGATCATGGCACAACATTCCTGTTTCTTCTCTAAGTCTTAAATAAGTCTTCTAATGAACTGACACAATTCTGAAACTTGTTTTGTAATTTCATGTGTTAGAGTAATAGGTTATAAAAACTTTCTTCTTCAGCATTGAGCATGTCAGTGCCATGAATTTCCTAGAACCTACTTCACCAGTCTTACAGCTCTCATACCTTTTTCTTCTTTAGGCCAGTATTGAAACAGGGGACCGTGTCTGGAGGATGCCTCTTTTTGAACATTACACAAGACAAGTTGTAGATTGCCAGCTTGCTGATGTTAATAATGTTGGAAAATACAGGTATGTAAAATAAGCTAAATGTACATTTTTACAATCATCATTGGTTGTCAACATGACTATTTTCAATTTTACCTCCTTTGCAAAAGGTTTAACTGTCCAGTTTCCTTTTAATGCAGTGCTTGTAAGATTTTTGATATCTTAAATTTTCAGGGTATTTTTCTAACTGGTTCTCAAAATTTTGTATGTTTTTTAAATCTAAAGGTCATTTTAGATTTGGAAAATAAGGAAAAGAGATGGAAGATATGAGAATTCATTACCATAATATAAAAGAATCTAGAATTTGCCTTTTACTGCTTAAAGCTGTATCTGAAACCAGATATGCTGAAAGTGATTTGTGGGTTACCTCCTTTTTTTTTATTGCCTAGGCTAGAGTGCAGTGGCTCAGTCTAGCTCATTATAACCTCCAACTCCTGGGCTCAAGCGATCCTCCTGCCTCAGCCTCCCTAGTAGCGGGGACTACAGGCATGCACTACTGCGCCCGGCTCATTTTTCTATTTTTAGTAGAGAAGGGGTCTTGTTCTTGCTGGGTCTGTTCTTGAACTCCTGAACTCATGCCATCCTCTTGCCTCAGCCTCCCAGAGTGCTAGATTACAGGCATGAGCCACTGTGCCCAGCCTGGGTTAAGGTCTTATTAGGTCTTGTAAGCTTGACACTTGTTCTCTGGTCATAGAACCTACTTAGCAAGAGTATAAAATCTTAGTGAAATTTTCAGTGTACATTAAATGGGGTTAAATAATGCTTTTTTGTCTTTCTCTTCAGAGCTGGAGGAGCATGTACAGCTGCAGCATTCCTGAAAGAATTTGTGACTCATCCTAAGTGGGCACATTTAGACATAGCAGGTGTGATGACCAACAAAGATGAGGTTCCCTACCTGCGGAAAGGCATGACCGGAAGGCCCACGAGAACCCTAATAGAGTTCTTAATGCATCTCAGCCAAGAGAATGCTTAATTCAGATGCTCAGACATTTCTTTATTCTGTCTTAAATTGGACAGTTGAGCTTCAAAAGATTTTTGAATGAATGGATGAAAATCTTTTAAAGGATACAAAGGATGGTATTTAAAAATTAGAACCCTAATGAAATTTATATGCCTTGATTTTTCATTTTATGCAAAGATTTATAAAGGTAAAGTGAATGTCTTGCTTGGCAAGGATTTTTAAGATACTCTATCAGTGATGATTAATTTTTATAAAACTTCCTAATCAATTCTCAGAGTATATGTTTTTAATTGAGAAGCAAAATTGTATTTCAGATTTGTGATGCTAGTAATGTGAGCACACTGAAAGTTACTGTGCGGTTGTGAGAAATGATAAATCCAACTTTCTGTGCTCTCTCTGGTTTGGCTCTGATATTTACTTATATACTACTACAAACCCAGTAACTTTAACATAACTTGTCTCTTCTGGTTGTGTTATGTGTACTAAGTAATTAAATTGGGGCACCGTGATAAAGGTATTTTCTCAGTGCTAATAATCACTTTTGGAAACTCAGTGATCGAGCTTATCAGTTTATATGACAGTGGCCTGGCATGTGATTTTCAAAACAGTCATGAAGTAATTATGTAAACCAATAATTGCAGACTTACTATCTGCCAGGGATTGTCCTAAGTGTTTTTGGGTATTATTGAATCCTAACACTAACCCAATTAGGCAGATACTGTTATTACCCCCACATGATACATGAGGAAAATGGGGCATGAGAGAGGTTTAATAACATGCAGGCAATGTCATGGAGCTAGTAAGTGGTAGCAGAGAGAGTTTATTACATTGACTGCCACACTAGCAAAAAAATTTTTTCCCCTGGGTCCATGGTGTTTTATTACAACAAAATGATCCTTTCCAATTTGTTACTCTTTTTTTTTTTTTTTTTTATTAGAGTCTCACTTTGTTGCCCGGGCTAGAGTGCTGTGACATCAGCTTAGCTCACAGCAACCTCAAACTCCTGGGCTCAAGCAATCCTTCTGCCTCAGCCTCTTGAGTAGATGGGACTATAGGCATGTGCCACCATGCCCGGCTAATTTTTTCTATATATTTCTAGTTGGCCAATTAATTTCTTTCTATTTTTAGTAGAGACGGGGTCTTGCTCTTGCTCAGGCTGGTTTCAAACTCCTGACCTTGAGTGATCTGCCCACCCTCAGCCTCCCAGAGTGCTAGGATTACAGGTGTGAGCCACCACGCCCAGGCCCCAATTTGTTATTCTTTATTGCTTTCTGTGCATGAGTTACGTGCAACATAATCCATATTTTTAGAATCAAATTGTTAATATTAATTGTAACAATAAGAACATCAACAAGTAAGATTTTCATGAACCATCTGCAGAGTTTTGCTTCACAAGGCCCTGGGGTCAAAATTAGTCTGAGTTAAATACAACTCACCTAGCAGTCAATATGTTAATCCCGCTGGTCTCTTTCAGCGTGGGCATGCTGCATCCGTATGCTGTGATGCTTCCTTTTCAGTTCAGTGACTCAAATGGGTGTGGAATTTATTTGACATACTTAAATAAGAAACAAGATCTCAAAAGGGACTGTCTATAGGTAAACTATTTGTAACAGAATTCCATTTGTACAGATTTAGAAAAAGCTCTCCTCTTTTTTACTTTTGTATCAGATGGATCAAATTATTCATGAATAAGGTCTATGCCAGGTGTCCTCAAACTACGGCCCGTGGGTCACATGTGGCCTGCTCAGGACATTTATCCCGCCCACTGGGTGTTTTTGCCGCCGCTGCCTGCCCTGCTTAGCAGCCACTCGTCCCAGGCCCACAGTGTGCATGTGTGGAATGTGCACCGCACTCTCCAACGATCTGAGGGACAGTGAATTGGCCTCGTGTTTAAAAAGTTTGAGGACCCCTGGTCTATGCACTTATTTTTTTAACTTTGAAAACATTTGGCAGAAAAAGCTGTTCATTGAAGTTAATTTTAACATTTTAAAAATTTGATATTTAAAGAGGGTATTGTATATCTACATTGGGTTATAGAGGGAGTGGAAATGGGCATGCATATTCATGGTATTAGAATTAAATAAAATCTGGCAAGAATGGTAAGTAAACACAGGTTCCCCTGGGTATCGACATTGAGAAGCTCCTTCATCAGGAAAGATGGAATCACTGTTGTATGAAGGAAACTAAAAACAGATTTCTTTGGGATGATTCAGATGGCCCAGTAGAGCTTTGATAGAGGCTTTCTGTTCAAAGTCATTTTATGGATAAAAGAACAATAGAACTCTTGTGTTCACTAATGTGTGGGATACAAAAGACATAGCACAGGCCCTGGTTTCATGTGCTTATCTAATCTGGTTGCTATGAAACTTAATAGTTGTCCTTGCACGTGAACTTCATGAACCCTTTGCTGATCCTCAGAAGCACACTCTGTGCTACAGATGGGTATCGACTAGGACTAGGCATGGCTGTGAAGAGCAGCAAACCCAAAATAGCAGTGATTTAGAACATGATAGTCTTAAAAGGTAAAAGTTGATAGAAGTAGAGAATCCAAGGTCAAGAGCTCAGAATTCCACATCACCACCATGGCCTCAAGGCTTCCTCATAGTCCCAGATAAACTGCTGGGGTTGAAGGAAAGGGAGCAGGGCAGAAGGGGTACAATCGCAGTTAATTTAAGGAGGTATCACTGAAGTCCCAAGTACACTCTGCTCACATCAACTAGAGTGAGCCATGGCTACTGCACAGGATTTGGGGAAACGTAGATTAGCTGGGTGCATTGTTGCTCTGGCAGAAGGGGAAAGGAGGAAAGGGGACAGCACATGAGTTTGAAAGTAGAGTATGGATTAAAACCCAGATCAACACATCTGTAAACTTTAGCATCCATGTGCCCCAACACATGGCCTTGAGCACAAGAAACCATCACTAAATGTAGTACATTCAGTAAGCCCTTGCTATAAAAGGACAGTGCACATTTTAACTGCAATGAGGACAGGTCCCCTATCTCCAGTTTATCATTGTATCTACTCATAGCACATGGACTCAAACCACTGCTGAAAATTGATATTGGTTGAATGAATAGGTGAGAAAAGAGACTGATAGAAGGTGAACTTGATGAAATCTTGGAAGGTTTGGCAGTTAAAAAAGGATTTTAGGATTATAGCAGAGTAAATCCAAACATGCCCTTATATCCTCCAATTTCAAAGCAGTAGGAAATGTCTTACTAATTTTGGAGTAAAAGATGCATTGATTCAGCAAATATTCCATGCCTACCTTGTGCCCGATATTTTGGAAGGTGCTTGCGATGGCAAAGTAAACAAGATGTGGTCTCTGCCCTTAAAGAATTCAGTCTAGGGTTGGGGGAAAAAGGGTTCTAAAACCATGCTCAATCATTTGGTGGTACATCAATCAGACAGTATTGGCCTCACCATTTCTTTGTGGCCCTTTGCAGCCAGCCATATTCTACAGCTATAGCTCTGCCACTCATGAGCTGTGGGCTCCTCCTTTGCATGATAATCCTAAGGAAATGTTTAGCCTAAACTCTGTCTTCAGGAAAGTCACATTCAACAGATTATATTATGCATTCCATTCCCAACCATTTGAGTTTTTTTCCTGAGCCAATCATAGAGTTCATCTGACCACATCTCACCACCTTTGTCTCAACCGTCATAGTGCAAGTCCCCATCTTCCTTCCTACACTCCTAGATTACTGCCTCACTGGTCCCTCTGCTTCCACTTGTTCTCCTATTATCTGTGAGTGGAAAGATTATTTTTAACATAAATCACTCCTCTTCTCAAGAAGTTCCTCCTCTTTTCTCAAAAAGTTACTTGGTCTATACCAGGAACTGTATTAGAGTCCCACATACATTACTTTGTTCTTAGCAGTTTTTCCAATGTTTTATTTTAGAAATGAAGAAATGGGTTTTCAGTGAAATTCAAACACATGAGTATTTTTTCTTTGCCCTATTCTAGGGTGAATCCAAGAGAAATACCATTCACCATGCTCTCAGGCAACTTCCATCAGGATTAGATAAACTGGATATTAAAGGGATTTGCAAAAAAGTAAAATGATGCCACTCTTCTAATTTATTTTTTGTTTTGGAAAATAAAGTTACAGCTTTTTTGTTGTTGAGACAGAGCCTACTCTGTTGCCCCAGCTAGAGTGCCCTGGTGTCAGCCTGGCTCACAGCAAGCTCAAACTCCTGGGCTCAAGCAATCCTTCTGCCTCAGCCTCCTGAGTAGCTGTGACTATAGGCATGTGCCACCATGCCCAGCTAATTTTTGGGACGGGGTCTCATTCTTGCTCAGGCTGGTCTGGAACTTCTGAGCTTAAACGATCGGCCTGCCTCGTCCTAGAGTGCTAGGATTACACTAGCCACTGTGCCTGGCCAGAATTACAGCTTTAATAAGATACATGTTTACTTTTATAATGGGTTTGATTTTTTTCTTCTTTTTTTTCCTTTTCTTAGTCTCTATCCCAAGAAGGGTTTGATTTTTTAATGAGTTGATTTTGAAACAATTTTTCAGTTTTAATTTATCAGGTGAATATTAGCAGACATAACCACATAAAAACTTTGGGGTCTTCAATAATTTTTAGGTGTGTAAAGGGGTCCTGAGACCAAAACAATTTGAGAGTTACTGGAGTAGATTAGTTCCCTCCTGGTTTCTCTTTAGGCCTTTTCAACCATCAAATGTTTATTATGTCTGTCTATGCCAGGCACAGTCCTGGATGTTGAGGTGAGTAACGCAGGCTCTGATGTCATGGAGCTTGCATTCCAGTGTGTGTGTGCAGGCGCATTGGGAAAGAGAAGGTGATTTAGTCAATGCAGAAAAAAATAAGATATTATAATTTCAAATTATGCTCAAGTAATGTGAAGAAATTTAAACAGGGGTGAAGTGTCTGGGAGTGTGAGTCTAATTTAAATTGAGACTAGGAAGATGACCTTTGATCTGAGCCTAATTGGCAAAACTCTGGCTTTTTCTGCCTGTCTCACTCCTCTGGCCCTGTTGGCCTTCCTACCACCAAGCAGGATCCTTCTTCAGGGGTCCCTTTGTCTAGAAAGCTCTCCTACTTAAAATTTCACTCCAGTCCCTCTAATCCAGATCTCCTTGGAGAGGCCTTCCCAATCACCCATTTCAAAGAACATCCAACCATCACTAGCCATCCCCTTACTGCATTTTCTGTCCTAACACTTATCACTACATGATATTGCAATATCTATTTATGTGTTTGTCTCTCTCCAGAGATTTTAAGGCAATTGCTAATAACCTTCAGATCATGCAATAGTACCTGGGACATGGAGGGCTCAATAAGTGTGCTGGATGATAATTATACAGTTAAATATAATGAAAAAAAAATGTGACTTGGCTTCTGAAGATACGAATAAGCAAATGTTAGAAGATTATTAAAAGATTAGTACAGTGACTTTCTCTTTGACGTAACCATGAATATCTAATACTAGTCACATATGGAGGCTCGGTGTCAGTCGTTCTCATTACCTGTCTCCCACTAGAATTTAGGGAGGACCTTGCCTGGCTTGTTCCAATGACTGAATTGGCGCTATAACCAATGACTGAATTAACAATTAGTACACAGCAAGCGCTCAGTAAGTGTAGAGAGAATAGGTGACCACTTCCTTTTAACCCACGGGTAAACTGTACCCAGAAAGAAGTGAATTGGTCAAAGCCATTCCATACGTTTAGGGTAGAGTGGAGACTAGAACATCTTTACTTAGTTAATTCATTCTGCTCTCTACACAATTGTGTCAAATCCTAAGCCTTCAATTCTCAAGCTAAGAAAAACAAAAGGAACAGCCACACACAGCCTCTGCACCGCAAACACAAGGGGAACGAAAAACCGGTTTCTCCGGCGCCCAACTGACGCCTCCAGGGCCCCGTCCTACCACGTGACCAAGCGGGTCCCAGCTGCCACGTGACCGGACTCCAGCTGTCGCGCAGGCGCAGAGAGCCTCTTCCCGCCATTTTAGACATGGCGGCTCCGCTAGGTGGTATGTTCTCTGGACAACCACCCGGGCCTCCACCACCCCAGCCCGGACTCCCGGGCCAGGCTTCGCTTCTTCAGGCGACGCCGGGCGCTCAGAGACCTTCTAACAGTACTTTGGTGGACGAGTTGGAGTCATCTTTTGAGGTAAAATGAGACATGGAAGTCTGTGTTCCCATTCCTCCCTCTTTGTTGAAACGTAAACTACACGCGCGCATATTATCTCCTTCAGCGATCCCAGGAGCCAATTTACAAATAAGGAAACTGAGGCTTAGATAACATGTCACTTGCTTTAGGCTCCCCAGTAGTCGATATTCTACTCAGGTATTCACGTTTTCCTACTCCCCAACCTTGGAACGTTTCGCGGTTCCCAGCCAGCGGTTCCAGTCCCAGCCCTGAGCACCCTTTCCTGCATCCCTGCGTGGTTAGTATGGGCTCATCCTCTTCGGAGCTCAGCATTTCACTGCTATGTCCTGTGTTCTTGCCTCTGGGCTCCACTTTTAAACGGTCCTCAAGTAATGGGAGTCTTGAAGCGAAAATAAACTTATTTAAAAGTTGCTGGGTGGGGCTTGGTACTACGGTCCGAGGAAGAGGGAAAGGGGGGAGTTAGGGAGGAGAAAGGCAGCGATAACCCAGTATCTTTGAGTTCTGCCCCAAGGAGTTTATCCTGTGGCAAGGAAGATGTGTTCTGAGAGAAGATAGCGAGTAGAGAGGTAAAAATGAGTGCTTTAGTGATTTTCAGTGGTCTCTAAAGTGGAGGAAGAGCCATTAGTGTGTGGAAATAAAGTAATAGTAACTTCTAATTGGAGTTATCTTTTTCACATTTTAAACTCTAGTTATATGTGTTTTTTGTGTGTATATGATAGCAGAGTAGTACATGAATATAATTTGTAAGTGACTATATTATTGGGGTTGCATGGACAAAATGATTTTACTGTGGGACATACAATCAAAGATTTGGAGATAAACGGTTTAAAGGACAGAGAAGTCTGTTCCATTTGGGGTAATGCTAAGCCATAAAGGAAAGGGATGGTTGAGCTTTATTTAAAAAAAAAAAAAATATATATATATATATATATGGAGAGAGGGAGAGAGACAGGGTCTTGCTCTGTTGCCTAGGCTAGAGTGCAGAGGCATCATCATAGCTCACTGTAACCTCAGACTTCTGGGTTTAAGTGATCCTTCTGCCTCAGCCCCCAGAATAGCTAGAACTGTAGGCACACCACCAGGCCTGGCTAATTTTTTTTTTTCTTTCTTTCTTTCTTTTCTTTTCTTTTTTTTTTTTTTTTTAAGAGATGGGGTCTTGTTAATGTTGCTTAAACTAGAGTGTAGTTTGCTCACTGCTGACTGAGCTTTGCTTTCCTGAGTTTGAGTCTTCCTTTCTAACCCCTGCTCCTCCCAGATGCTATCCTGTTCTTTTTCTACATACACCCTTCTGGCCCAAGCCTGCGATAGGACTTCCTTGTGCATTTCCTGAGAGTTGCATGCACACAGAACTCTTCTTGCCTGATTCACATATGTGTCTACAGAGGTGCCCCTTTAGAGAGAGTGCCCTCTTTGGGGCTTTGGTTGTCCATGTGATACCAACATTGTCCAGTTAGACTATCCAGTCAGTGATTAACATGGCTTTATTAAACACCTACTTTGTGCCAAACAGGATTCCAGGCACTAGGACTATAGTAGTGAATGAGAGAAGCAAAACTCCATCTACGAGTAGGGTACAGACAATAATGGATGAAAAGAATGGATTGATCTTAATTATGTGAAAAACAATGAAGCTATGCTGGGGTAGAGCACGAACAGGATGGGGGGCACCCTTTAGAAAGTGTATATAGGACCACCTCTCTGAGGAGGTTATAAATGGCCTGAGTCCTGAGGTGTAAGTTGTATAAGCCTTGGCTAGAGGAGCTGTGGTGGGGATGGAAGAGCAGCCTGGCCTAGTGTGGAATGAGATAGTGGGGATGGGGCAAGTAGTAGGAGAGAGACAAGATATGGTGCTGGCTTGTTTGCCTAGCTCTCCCTCCATGGACTAATTAGGACTCAGTTTACCAAGTGCCTTCATGGGCATGATGTCTTGTCATCTCATGTACAGAGACATAGCTACTGTCAGTTCATTGAATGACTTTAAACAGAAGTTATTTCTTACTCTGATGTAAGATTTTTGATATGTGAATGATGTTTTTTCTTTTATATGTTTTGTTCACACAGGCTTGCTTTGCTTCTTTGGTAAGTCAGGACTATGTCAATGGCACTGATCAAGAAGAAATTCGAACTGGTAAGCTTTCTGTCTTTGTAGACAAATGTTCTTGGCTTCAGCAGGATTCCTCATTGCTGATCTTACACTTGATATATTTCAGTCCTGCTTATATCCTAAGAGAACTTATGAGAACTTTTGCAAAGAATAAATGTATATGCTAGGTGCGATTACTCACGCCTGTAATCCTAGCACTCTGGGAGGCCAAGGTGGGAGGATCATTTGAGCTCAGGAGTTCAAGACCAGACCAGCTTGAGCAAGAACAAGACCCTTCTCTACTAAAAATAGAAAGAAACTAGCTGGACGACTAAAAATATATAGAAAAAATTAGCCCGGGCGTGGTGGCGCATGCCTGTAGTTCCAGCTACTCAGGAGACTGAGGCAGTAGGATTGCTTGAGGCCAGGAGTTGGAGGTTGCTGTAAGCTATGATGACCCCACAGCACTCTAGCCAGGGCAACAGAGAGAGACTCTATCTCAAAAAATAAATAAATAATAAAGAAAGAAAGAAAGAATAAATGTATGCATGTAATTTCTATAAACTGCTGGTTCTTTGTTCAGTTTATTAATTGATATCTTATGTCAGTCTTAAGGAACTGTTGATAATAAGCATGTCATATTGGTACTAGGTAAAGAAGACTAATAATGTATACTGCTTAAAAAAAGATTGTATTATTTTTTTAAATAGGTGTCATAGAGAAAAACCTCTTGTGCTTCTCTCTCATCCCCCAGGTTTATCCCTACAAGTAACCAGAGCTTCTGATTTCTTTGAACTATATTTTAAAATATCTTTTTCGCCTGATAAAAGCATGAATTATCCACTACTTAATGTTGGTTAACACATGGGATGTTGGAGGTCATTATTATTGCTGTGGCCAATCCAAATCCCCAGTTAATTTATGAGAAGGTGCTGTTTTGATATTCTGGCTATTTATGAGGGAGATATATGTGGCTAGTGTTTTTCTTAATTTAATATTTCATTCTTTTTTTTTAAGGTGTTGATCAGTGTATCCAGAAATTTCTAGATATTGCAAGACAGACAGAGTGTTTTTTTCTACAAAAAAGATTGCAGTTATCTGTCCAGAAACCAGAGCAAGTTATCAAAGAGGTAAAAACAATTTTCTTCTCAGTTTTTAGGAAAAACAGATGTTGCCAGGATTCCATTTATGCTTTAAATGAGATGTACACATTTCTTTTAAGTTTCAGTAGGGCTTTATAGATCAGTATGAAATGTTGTTAGTTATCAGTGTTCATGACAGAGCAGAGCTCTAAACAGAGCAGTTCTGCTCTCACTTGTTTCATATATTGGCCTTCAGGGAATATTTTTCTTTTTTCTTTTTTTTGAGACAGAGTCTCACTCTGTTGCCCAGGCTAGAGTGTGTGCCGTGGCGTCAGCCTAGTTCGCAGTTCAAACTCCTGGGCTCAAGCAATCCTACTGCCTCAGCCTCCCGAGTAGCTGGGACTACAGACATGCGCCACCATGCCTGGCTAATTTTTTTTTCTCTCTATATATTAGTTGGCCAATTAATTTCTTTCTATTTATAGTAGAGACGGGGTCTCCTTCTTGCTCAGGCTGGTTTTGAACTCCTGACCTCGGGTAATCCGCTCGCCTCAGCCTCCCAGAGTGTTAGGATTACAGGCGTGAGCCATCGTGCCCAGCCGGGGAATATTTTTCTTAAGGAAAAGGTTCTGTTGCACAAAAATAAGTTAAAAAGCCATTAGTGTAGATGAGCTTGTCTAGAACAAAAACCGATCTGTGTCTCCAGATTGCAAGGCATTGCCTTACCCAATGCCTTGCAGACAGGAAGCCATGGAATCAAAAGGAAATGTTCTGACCCTGGCTCACTCAGGATTTCGTTGATGTCCGTTGTTTTAAATTGGGTATTTGGAAGTGTATTGGAGTTGCCACAGTGGGATGCTTTAATGGCATGGAGTGGGTTGGGCCAAGGCCTGGCCCTTGTGATGTGGGGGAGTGAGGAGTTGTCCTACCCAGAAGGCTAGTGATGCCTGCAGTGAGAAATACTAAATTGAGATTATTAATTTGGGACAGTTTTTTTTTTTTTTCTTTTTTGAGACAGAGTCTCGCTTAATTGCCCAGGCTAGAGTGAGTGCCCTGGCATCAGCTTAGCTCATAGCAACCTCAAACTCCTGGGTTCAAGCAATCCTCCTGCCTCAGCCTCCTCAGTAGCTGGGACTACAGGCATGTGCCACCATGCCCGGCTAATTTTTTCTATATATATATCAGATGGCCAATTAATTTCTTTCTATTTATAGTAGATATGGGGTCTCACTCTTGCTCAGGGTGGTTTTGACTCCTGACCTTGAGCGATCCGCCCATCTCGGCTTCCCAGAGTGCTAGGATTACTGGCATGAGCCACCGCGCCCGGCCTTGGGGTAGTTTTTGAGTAACTATTTCTTCAAGCTGATCAATTAATCAAAAATGCCCTTTTCATTCATGATACCAGCTGTTGAGGGGTGAATGGCAAGTTCTTTATCATGTTGGATCATTTCCTAATGTGAATACTTTAATAACAATGCAGGTGTGTTCAAAGCCAGTTTTGCTTTTTTTTTTTTTTTTTTTTTTTTTTTGAGACAGAGTCTCGCTTTGTTCCCCAGGCTAGAGTGAGTGCCGTGGCGTCAGCTAGCTCACAGCAACCTCAAACTCCTGGGCTCGAGTGACTTCTGCCTCAGCCTCCCAGTAGCTGGGACTACAGGCATGCGCCACCATGCCGGCTAATTTTTTATATATATATCAGTTGGCCAATTAATTTCTTTCTATTTTTATAGTAGAGACGGTCTCGCTCCTTGCTCAGGCTGGTTTTGAACTCCTGACCTTGAGCAATCCGCCCGCCTCGGCCTCCCAGAGAGCTAGGATTACAGGCGTGAGCCACCTCGCCCGGCCCTCAAAGCCAGTTTTTTAATAACAAAGATTGAATGCTGGTGTTCATAAAAAGCACTTGAAAATGTGGATGGGTGCAGTGGGCCCACGACAGTAATCCGAGCACTTAGGGAGGGTGAGGGTGAGCCCAGGAGTTCAAGGCTGCAGTTGAGCTATTAATGTACCACTGCACTCCAGCCCAGGTGACAGAGCAAGACCCTGTCTCTAAATAAAATTGAATTAAAAAAGAAAAAGAAACTCTTGAAAATGTGATTTTAACTCTTGATAATCTGAAGTGATACAACAGTGGTGTGGATTTTGTAAACAGTGTGTTAACGTGTTTTCTAATTCTCAGTGTTTTTGGTTCTCAGCGCTAGCCTTTGGACAGGAGTAACTCAGTGGCTGGGGACCAGGATGGGAAAGAGTCTGATTTTTGTTTTGTTGTTTTTTTTTTTTTTTTGTGGCTGCCCTTTGATCCCTTTTGAATTTTGTAACTTGTGTGTTACTTTTAAAAGAAAAATAATTAAAAATTAAAACTCTCAATGTTAGATATCTGTTGTTTTATTTGGATTCTTTAATAGTGGGGCCAAGCAAAGTAATGGTCTTAATATGGTTTAATGGATTCTTTTTGTTTTGAATTTACTTCTTAGTGCTCTTAACTAATCAGGAACTGTATTTGTTTTTTTTGAGTTTGCTGTGACTTACTTCATTGGTTTCATCTGTAGGATGTCTCGGAGCTAAGGAATGAATTACAGCGGAAGGATGCTCTGGTCCAGAAGCACTTGACAAAGCTGAGGCATTGGCAGCAGGTGCTGGAGGACATCAGTGTGCAGCACAAAAAGCCAGCCGACATCCCTCAGGGCTCCTTGGCCTACCTGGAGCAGGCGTCAGCCACCATCCCTGCGCCTCTGAAGCCGACCTGAGGGAGAGGACAGTGGCAGCCTGAGTGTGTGCCTGTGCGCGAGGCAGCCTCGGACAGTTTACCACGAACCACTTCTTGTGGATGTGGCATTTTGGAAGAACTCTTTATTCTCTCCTAAAATTTTTTCACTATTTTTGTAAGCTGTTTAATGTCTTAAATACTTTCTAAAATGCCTGTAGCTTGGGTAAACCAAGTAAATTTTTTTTCTTTAGTGAAGTTTAGACTTTTAGTATGATGGTACTTAGATTCTTTTTTTATGTTTTTTTTGCTTTTTAAAATTTTGTATGACTTTTCATCTCCTGGTGTGTGTTTTCCAGTTAGGTTAGAGAATGGGGGATGAGGATTTTGCTTGTAGGCCTTTTTACCCCACCGTGGTAGTGTAGAAAAATAGGTAAACCTGCTGTGTTTTACCTTCGAACTACCTCAAGAAGAGGAATCTAATGTTTATAATGCTTCCAGAGCTCTCAGAATGAGGATATTTCATAAATAAGTAGGAAGAGGATTAAAATATCCTAGGTTAGTATAGTAATATTGCAGTAGAATCCCTAGGCTAATGCTGACTTTTATTTGGGGTAAGTTTATATTTTGTGTAGTATTTATTTACTTTTTTTTCATGGGGAGGGATGTAGTAGGAGCAGTGATATGCTAAATTTTGTTGTGTTCTACAGTAAGGAATCAGTGTAAGTAACGGCGGACTGTCTCAGGCCACGGCAGTTGGGGCATACGTGAAGTATGAGGTGTTAAAGTTTGCTCAAGTTTTCTCTTAATTTTGAGTTTTTGCTTGTGTCATTTTTATTTTACATTTTGGGAGGGGAAGATATTTTCCATTAAGGATGATTGTTGCTAATGGGTTTGATTCCAGGGGACTGGTGTCTCTGGGTGTCTTGGCTGTTTCCACAAAGAGCATGTGGTGCCTCCGAGTTTGGGAAGATATTTTACTCTCTTGCTAGTTTCATAGGCCACTTCAGATTGTCTGAATTGCTGTTGAAAAATACAGACTAGTGTTGTTTCTGGCTCTTGCTGGAAGAGATTTTCCTGAATTTTATATAGTCTGTTATTAAATTACATCCCTTTACCCAAAACAAAGGCTTCACTGTCTTCTGAAGAGACAGCAGTTCTGTGGCTCAGTGTCTTGGGTCCTTTTATTTTCTGTAGCCTTGAAGGCCCTGCTCACACACACTGACACCCACTCATGTTCCTGGTCTGACCTGGATGCCACCTGGTGCCTGATGCCTCCCAGTGCCCTTTCTGCTATATCCCCAGGGCATAGGACTCATCTCTCTACCAAACTCTTGCTTGGTTCTCCCTTGTGGGTTAGTGACATTTATCTCTCTCTGCCCCTCACTGCATTGTATGCCCGTAAGAATTAGGCATTATTGCCCTTAAACATACAGAGTCCATATATTATTTCTATTTTATACATGCTGTTTAGTACTCGTTTTTGTTTGTGTGTTTGTGTGGGATCTGGCATGTTGACCTGGGATTATTAGCATGAGGCCAAGGAACTCCTCAATTAGAAGGTACAGGTTAAACAAAGCTCTTTTTTTTCTTTTTTCGAGAAAAGGTATCACTCCATTGCCTGGCTAGATCAGTGGCATCGCATTGTAGCTCACTGCAGCTTCAAACTCCTGGGCTGGGCTGAAGTGATCTTCCTGCCTCAGCCTCCCAAGTGGCTGGGCTACAGTGTCTGCCACTATGCCTGGCCAAATAGCTTTTAAAAGCTTGAGTTATATGACCTCAAGGTTGTTTACCTGATCCTTTCATGGTAATTATAAACTCTGATTGGCAGCTTTAGATTTCTTTATTAAAAACCTAAGTAAACTTGATTGAGTTACAGGCATTCTTTCAAAGGAGTTCTCGGTGAAAAGATTGCAAACTATGCTGTCTGGTGCTTAGTGAAAATATTTTGAATTAATGTATTTATCAGTTATTGTAATTTGTTTAATAAATTCAAAAGTTTTTTGTCAAATAGCAATTTTTTAGTCTTACCTGTTTGTAAACATCTTGCTGGGTGACGAACACAGAAAACCCTCTAAGCTGCTGTCTCCTTCTGGAAGAAAACCAGGAGCTGTCCTCTGGGGTTTCCCCCTGAGCCTGTGGGATGCCCTCTGCTGAGTCACTGCCCAGACACCTGGGCTGGGGCATGTCCTTTAAGAAAGAACCCTGCTCTGGTCTGCCTTGTGCTTCATGTTTTCATCTTTCAAACATCTGTGCTACACAATTTCAATAAATGATCTCATTGAATTTTCTAGAAGCTTTGTAAGAGAATCTATTGTTGTTCCTCTTTTCACAGATAGAAAATCTGTTAAATAGGGGTAAGATTAGGACCTATCCCCTAGGATTATTTTTGCAGATTGAAGGAAGTATTGAATGGGATATAAGTAGCAAGGGTGTGCTAGAATGTAGTAAGTGCTCTTTGGGTGTTAGTGATTAGAGGAGATCAAGGGTTATGGAGGAGATAGCCTCTTCCTTGACAGAAGTAGGATTTGACATGTTCCCTGGTCAGTGTCATTCACTAGCAGCTTACCCACCTATAGTTACAGGGTATTCTTGAGAAGCCAAGGTGGCTCTTCAAAAGGTAGAAAGTTGTACCAGTAGTCGTTTTCCCTTCTGAACTCTCAGCTTCTTTGTCAGGCCTCCAGATGCAGATTGCCTGTGAGCTGGGGGACAGGGCTGTCATTCCCACACATGAACCTACCCATCTTCAGGGCACTTTCCCCACACGTGTTCTGGATCCCAGGCCAGTTGTCTTCTCTAGGGCCTAAGTCCTTGGGTGATTTCCGCCCCCCTTTGCATTTGTCTACTGGCTCATTTCCTAAAGCTCTCAAGAACCCTTGGTCCGCATCTTAGACATTCCTCTGGATCTTGAGCTGCTGCCCCATCTCCGGTCCCCATCCACAGTCCCCAGCTCTTCTCCATTCTCCCTTCACCTGGCTGCTGGCTGTCCCTCGCCTGCTACCACCACTGTGCTTGTGACCCTTGCTGGCCACTTGGCTGTTGCCAGATGGAGCGGACATGTCTCCGTTTTCATCTTCTGTACTTGAACGTACTCTTTAATACATCTTCCCTTTTTCTTTCTTCCTCTACCCGCTGTCTAACTGATGATATTCCTGTGTGTTTGGTCCTGGGCCTCTGGAGGCTGTGGAATAGCTCTGCTCGGTTCTCCGTTCAAGACAGCTGCTGCAAGGACTGCAGTTCCAACAGCTCCCGCTGCGGGGGACCAGCCGCTGCGTTCCTGACCATGCTGCGCTGGTCCCGCGAGTGACCAGGTATGGTGGAGTCTTGGAGCCAGGCCATTTCTGCCCAACATGGGACCCGGTCTGCTCTGGAGCTCCCATCAGCGTGGCCAAGACGTTCTGGCACTGTTCTGCTGTCCAACTCTCTTTAGCCACAATCTTCCTCAGCCCTCCTCTCACAGATGTCAAACCTGCCTCATAGTCTGAAGGTTCTTCCAGTCTTCCATTTCCTCTCCCCTTTATCTTACACAGGTGCTTCCCCTGAGAAGCTGGGGGGAAAAAACCCACCTGACATTCAGAAGCTGACCTACCACTGCTTGGCCATGTTAGTCTCCTGTTGGACATGAACAGTCTCAGAACACCAACTTCAGACAAAGCTGCTGTCAGGCCGTGATAAAGTAAGACAAAACAAACCACTTATAATTTTGTACATAAAGTCGCGGTGTCACTCACAAAATAACAAACATCTTTCTCCTGATGAAAATGAGTGATTGCTGCCTTTTTACCAATTACAGCTTCTTCCTTACTCTAGGCCACCTTCCATATAGGTAATACTTATTGAGATACTCAGTCACAGAATCACCCCCATTTCTGACAGCATCCAATCTAGACTGAATCTGCACTTCCTTAAAACCCACCACGAAATCACCCAGGCGGTGCCAAAATCCTAGAATAGATTCATTGTAATGCTCTCTGAGAAGCCCTGCCATTCTCCATAGTGAATGCCCCATGATGAATGCATTTATTACTGCAATAAGTAATAACTTGTTCAAAGACAACTGTGTTTCTGGTGGTCTTTGGCTGAAGGCATTGGCACCCCCCAATGAATCTTCACTTCTAATTGTGTATTTGGGGCATGCCTCCTGGGGGACTCACCTGACAAAGTTGTTACAAACGTGGTGCAAGAGAGCAGGCAGTAGGATGGGGTTTGCAGGTGGCTCCCTCTCTGCCCAGCTGACAAGGAGGACTCATCTTAAAGGGCGTGTGAGGTATGGACAGTCACTGGCACAAGGGGTCGCCCCAGTTGCTGAAGATTTCACCAGCAGTGCCCTGGGAAAGCTTCCCCATGGAAGGGAAGGGGGTTCTGCACATGAGGTCAGCAGAGGTCATCGCTGTACTGTCTTGACTCCCTGCAGAGGGATAATGAGAAACGGAAGGTGGTGACCGAGAGTGCCAGGGGCCTCTGTGGCTGCCTCCTGGGGGAGATCAGATAGCTGAGGAGCTGATAGAGTTGGCAGATCCAAAACAATATTGCATCCTGGGGGTGGAGGTGGGGATTGGTGCTACCCTTAGAAATCTAAAAGATGCCAGGAAGGCAGTCCCCATCACAGCTCCATTCAGTTTACTGGCCTCATCTTTGCAGAATCCACATGGATCTTGGAGAATGATTATCAACCAAGTAGCGTCCAGTCACAATCGCTGTGTTGGATGTTGTGTCAGTGCCAGAGCAGTTAAGGGCTCAGGTTCCTGATGTGCAGCCATTGATTTGGTAAATCCATTACTTTCTACCCCAGCTAAGAAAGAGTTTGCATTCATGTAGAACAGATGATATTCCTTCTTTTCAGTTGTGCTCCAGGAATGTTAATTCTTATGCCCTCTGTCATAAGATAGCCTGAAGGGATTTATCATCAAATTATCTTGTTTCTCCCACCTAACTGAATTCTGAAACAGATTCCTCTTCATCTGCAGTTACCTCTAAGCCACCACCACCATCTCTAGACCACTCTGCTCTTTTTGAAAGAGTGATGGAATCGGATTATACAAACTAAAACAGGAAGAATGTCTTATCTATCAAATTGTGTTTCTTTGTCGATATTGTCTAGGGTACAGAGAGAATTTCATTTACTGTTTGTAAGGGAGTAAATTGCTAGAAACTTGCTGGATGGTAATTTGATAATATCAAACAAAAAGCTTAAATGTGTATCTTAGGCTGGGCACGGTGGCTCACGCCTGTAATCCTAGCGCTCTGGGAGGCCGAGATGGGAGGATCGCTCAAAGTCAGGAGTTCGAAACCAGCCTGAGCAAGAGCGAGACCCCATGTCTACTATAAATAGAAAAAAATTAATTGGCCAACTAATACATATAGAAAAAATTAGCTGGGCATGGTGGCACATGCCTGTAGTCCCAGCTACTTGGGAGGCTGAGGCAGTAGGATTGCTTGAACCCAGGAGTTTGAGGTTGCTGTGAGCTAGGCTGATGCCACAGCACTCACTCTAGCCTGGGCAACAAAGTGAGACCCTGTCTCAAAAAAAAAAAATAATAAATATGTATCTTTAGATGCCTTCAATACTCAAGGAATATGGCCTAAAGCAGTGATCCCCAGCTTTTTTGACCTCAGGATGGGCTTCATGGAAGACAATCCTTCCACAGACCTGGGGTAGGGGTAGGGAGAAGATGTGCAGCCGCTGCTGCTGATCTGACGGGAGGTGAGCCCATGTGGTGATGTGAGCGATTGGGAGTGGCTGCAAATACAGGTGAAGCCTCACTCGCCTGCCCCTCACCTCCCAATGTGCAGCCCAGCTCCCAGCAGGCCCAGACCACCACCAGCCTGCAGCCAGGGGTTGGGGGGACCACAGGCCTAAAGAAAAAATTATAGAAACATGCCAAGATATAGTTAACAAATATGCGATTATTGCAGGGTAGAATCTAGAAATTTAACAAGATCTTTCACTCACCTGCAACAAGAAAGAAGTTGAAGTAGATGGTCTCGATTAATACAGTTCTCTTCCTGCACAGTTCGAAGGACAGTAGCTTGCTTTGCCAGTCATCAGGAGTTGCACAAAAGTAGAGCTACCTGTATGTAGTCTTTTGTTTGTTTTTATTTAAAAAAAATTTTTTATAGCCTGATTGCCATCGCTCCCAATTTTTTTTTTTTTTTTTTTTGAGACAGTATCTCACTCTGCTGCCCAGGCTAGAGTGCCATGGCATCAGCCTAGCTCACAGCAACCTCAAACTCCTGAGTTCAAGCCATCCTCCCGCCTCAGCCTCCCGAGTAGCTGGGACTACAGGCATATGCCACCATGCCCGGCTAATTTTTTGTATATATTTTTACTTGGCCAATTAATTTATTTCTATATTTAGTAGAGATGGAGATCTCACTCTTGCTCAGGCTGGTTTCGAACTCCTGACCTTGAGCGATCCACCCACTTCGGCCTCCCAGAGTGCTAGGATTATAGGCGTGAGCCACCGCGCCCAGCCTGTATGTAGTCTTTTTTAAAAGCACAAATTAAAAAACAGTCTTCCAATGCTCACTGCTGTGGTCTGAATGTTGGTGCACCACCCTCTCCAATTCATATGTTGGAACCTAATCTCCAGAGTGTTAGCATTAAGAGGTGGGGCTGTTGGGAAGGGATTAAGTCACGAGGGCTCCACCCTCACCAATGGGATTAGAGCCTTTACAAAAGAGGCTCAGACAAGCCCCCTTGCCTTTCCACTGTGTGAGGACATGTAGCAGGTGCCCATCTGTGGGGCCCTCACCAGATACTGAATCTGCCGGCGACTTGATCTTGGACTTCACAGCCTTCAGAACCGTGAGCAATACATTTCTGTTGTTTGTAAATTACCCAGTATAAATATGACATTTTGTTATAGCAGGCTGAATGACTAAGACACCCAACCTAAGCAGAAAAGAAAAGACAAAAACAAAAAATCTTGGTACTGAAAAATATGGCAAGTTACATGTGTGGTGACAAGTATTTGCATTTAAAAGTTATTGGGGTCTTGTTTTGATTAGATAAATTTACCTTTAATTTGTAAGTCTGAATTTTAATTGCATTTCTACCAAAATGATAGTTAAAAGTGTGTGATCAGCTACTTTTTATTCACAGATGATCTGTTTGAGGTTAATGTGAGTTTCCTATTTCCAAGCTCTGTCTTCATCTAATTTACCTCTCTATGGAAAAGCAATACAAGTCACAACCATTTTTATTGCCCAGTTGTTTAAAGTTTTATTCAAAGAGCAAAGGTTTGACAGTGCATAGAATTAACCTGTTTGTGGGCCACCTGTTGGGCCAGC